TGAGACGGCTCAAAGGGTGTCAAGCAGATTTGATTGAGAGTTTATTGATGTTTTTTTTTGTATGATGAAAGAAATTTTCGGAGCCGGTTGATCCTAGATGCCGCAATGCTCAAAGGGGTCGTTTGCAGAGCTTTCGGAGTTTTGCAAAGCCTTCTCTGAATGAGAAATACGTGGCATGAAAATCTTAGAAATACTTTTCATCAGGATGGATAAAATGCTAAGAAGCTGCTTCTAATAGTTAGCCGACATATTTTTTGGTCGGAGAGAAGCAGTTTCCAAGGAGTATTTCACATATTTTCCGCTTTTACTGAATTTCTCATGGAACTCCCCGAAACGCCTGAGAAAGTGAGGACACACAGGGAACTTAGTTGTTTTCGACTGTGTTTCCATCGTAGCACACTGACGTAGTGTAGGGAATATAGAAAAATCTTAACCCGAACGATGCTGAGTGTTATCGACAGTTCTTTACAAGCTACCTGAAGATCGCGAATAGCAAGCGAATATTTTATTTGAAACTTGCTATCACTTTTATCTGGTTATCTCTTTGATGAAAGAAAACCTGAAATGATGTCGTCTTCAGGTTTGTTCCGGCTATTTTCACACCTCTTTCTGGCAGCGTTGACACTTGCTAACAACATGTGAAAAGAGAATAAATTACCCTTTTATTCAATAGGACCATCCCAGGCAAACAACACTAATATCCCCTATGTGCTCTTTGACGAAACCTGTTCCTTTGAAAACGAAGGTTCCGGCATTACATTTTCTTTTGCCCTCGGTACCATTCTGGAAATATTTCCTACATACAAGAAAGTTGCATAGAATCTTTCACAGGACAGCAAATACGGACGTGATCAAGAATCGCTGTTTCTGCCCTACACTTCAATAACATGGATTGGGTGATCTTCCTTCTTGCTCATAGGTCATTGGATACTCCAATAACGTATGCCTCATCGCAATCTCCATATATATACGGACGACTGGAAAACAAAAACACTAAACTACAGAACTTTCATGCAAAAGTACTTTTCACAAATCCATTGTTCCGACAAGCTACTCTTCCAAGGACCTCATGTAAAACATCATCAGCAAAAGTTGCGATCCCTTACATACTAGGACAAACAATACTGAACCGAAAAATTTTTTCCCCACACTTACTAATCCTACCTGTGTCAGAATTTAAACGACCCTAAGGACGCCGTGTACTCTTTTATTGACTAGCAGGAGAGACTTCGAAAGAATGAAAAAGAGTTTTTGGGAAAAAAAGTACCGAAAAAATCTTTTCTTCATACTACTTACTCCTAGTTGTATTTGACTTGAAATGACCCTAAGCACGCGGTGCTGCTCTATATATAGTAGGGAGTGAGACTCAAAAAGACCAAAAAAGACTCTTTAGGAAAAAAAAATACCGAAAAAATCTTTTCTTCATACTACTTACTCCTAGTTGTATTTGACTTGAAATGACCCTAAGCACGCGGTGCAGCTCTATATATAGTAGGGAGTGAGACTCAAAAAGACCAAAAAAGACTCTTTAAGAAAAAAAAATACCGAAAAAATCTTTTCTTCATACTACTTACTCCTAGTTGTATTTGACTTGAAATAACTCTTAGCACGCTTGACAGCTCTTATGGTAGGGTTGGCACTGGAAAAACTGAATTAGACTTTTTTTTTATGCGAATGATGCTCTTACTTATTTGATTAATTATGGCAAGCTTTGTGGGTGTATAGTCATGCTTATATTCACGAAGGAATGTGTCAGATTACGAGACCAAATTGTTTCGCTGCAAATAATCTTTTTATTCTCTGAACTTCGTTTCGTTTGACGTAGAACAAGTATACTGTATGTAGTGAATGGAAGATTTTCTTCGGTCCGTAAGCATATTGCCGTTTCTAATGAATATTGTTCACTACCTGTGTATATATTGCTTTATCTGTGATTCTGGATGATTTTACGGACTTAGACACAGTGGTTCGGGTGATAGATTGGTTAGTGGCTGGATTCTACTTCATCTGTTGCACTAATTGTATTTCGCTTCGGGTAGGAATCCAGGAAGTAGATCGCTGTTTTTCCTTTATATGCTTTGCAATGGTGTCGTAAAGAGGAGAGTTTGTTTGTATGTTGGCTTTAGTTTTTTTTCTTGTCATCGAGGAAGCGCGCGTGTTAAATATAGTATTATCATGAATAAATTATGTAACTGAAAGGCTGTGCAGCAAGTCCCATCAATAAGGAGGAAAAATAATTTGTGATATGCTTAGAGGTGTATTGGTAGTGTAGGACTAATAGAAGTATTCCCTTGTTAATCGCACAAGACGAATAGTGTGCATTGAATGGTTTACTGGTTTAAAGAAAGCTTGTGACATCTGTAAATCTCAATGAACGGTGCTTTTTCTGTTTTTCTTTACATTTTAAAGCTCCTGAATATTGCTACTATTAGTGGCAGGTTTTATTCATGATTATACTAATATTTTATCGATCACTTATACAAGAAAGTTGAATGAGTCTTCATAGTGATGACTAAGAACGGAGCACTTGGTTTCTTGTTTCTTTTTAGTTTTCTAGTGAGAAGATCGATATGGCTAATAATTTCTGTACTACAGTCAAAGTTGCATCCTGAGTTCATGAGGATCGGTGTGCGTAAGGATGTCTGCGTAGTCGAAGAAGTAGAATAAACTGAAACCTCTCCCTGATTGAACTCTCCGTTCACAAATTTATTGTGTAAACTATCTGACAATGGCCGGACACGCTGACTGATTCTGCAATGTACTCACTTCTTTTGAGCGCACAAAATCGGTTAAAGAAGAAAGTACGATCGATTTCCAATAATCAACTAAAACTAATTTAAACTAAATAATCGATTAAAAAGATGTAAATCAGCTGAACTCCATCATTAAGAATGAAAGATCTTATTAAAGTCAGATTAAAATGGCAGTATTTAATCGATTTTTAATCCAAAAGTAGGCATTTTCAGTCTAATTTTTAGTGTTGTTTTTGCATGGATAAACTATGGGAGTATATAGATTGATTGTTGTTTTGTTGTGACATTGTTTCTGGCGTTCATACATCTTATCGAAACCCAATAGGGTTTACACTAAATTGACAATGATAAGGCCGTTTGAAACACCTTGCATTTTATAAAAGTATAGCTCATATCAAAAAGCAAAACCTGAGATTCTTTCTCGACTTTGGGGAAACGCAAATTTTGTCACCTGTCGACTAGTATTCATAATCGTAAGAGTATATTATTGATTTTCAATAATAGAAACTTGCCGACATTACTGATTATGTTCGATGAAATACGATAGCAAACGGCGATTCCACATCGGACTAGTTATGGTAGACGCAGACATTACGTTGCTATATTATGGGATGAACATATGGAGTAAACATATTTTTACTGAAGTTGTACACGGTGGCGTTTTATGGAAATTGTTTAGAATGGCTGCAAAGCATCGTAAAATATAGTTTATGAGCGCCGTAAACGATTACCGTATACTACTGACGCATACGGTGTCTTACAACATTTCATAGTATCAGCGTAAACAGTCGTCGTGCTGCCACATTAATCGTTTCCGATGATATTTTACGGTCAATGTTTACAATCATCGTAGTATGCCGTAAAACCTTGTTTACGAACGCCGTAAACGATTACCGTATACTGCTAACGCATACGGTGTCTTACAACGTTTCGTAGTATCAGCGTATACAGTCGCCGTATTCCCACGCTAGCCGTTTCAGATGATATTTTACGGTCCATGTTTATGGTCGCCGTAGTATGCCGTAAAACATCATATACGACTGTTGTAAACGGCCACCAGAAACGGCTGACGTATACGATACTTTACGTTATTTTATGACCACAGTATACAGTCATCAGATTGTTACGGTAGTAGTTTACGATGGACTTTTACGGGCACTGTGTACGATTGCCGTAATACGCTGTAAAGCATCGTTTACTACCGCCGTAAATAGCTAACGTAAACGGTTGCCGTTTTTCGCCGTATTTGGTTAGTGAACGACCGTTTACGGCTGAGCATATTTGACCTGGGTCACGATGAAATTTTCTATACAGTTCAGTCTTTACAATATATCGGTTGAGTTCGAAGATGAGAAGGATCGGCCGAGCCGTTCCTGAATTATTGCAAAAATACCCATTTTTTCCTATAGCTTCCCTATGGAAAGATCGACCCATCTCCACTTTTGTAAAAGACTTTTCCTATCATAGTCAATTAAAACCCCAACTATGATATACTATTCGATAGAGAATTTCAAGAGCTACAAAATAGTATATGAAACATAAGGAAGCAAGAAAGCTAACTCACCTATTGCAAAAATAATTAAACAGAATTCGGTTCTGTTTTTGTCCACGCTCTGATTGACCCATATTAGAGCTCTATCTTTCGATCACAGAGATAGTACTTCGAGGTTTTCTGGGGCGGAGAACTCGAATCCGTACTCCACTTGCCTCAAAATACCATTGGTTGAGCAGGGACCAATATAAATCAAGTTATAGGAAAAAAGACTTTCTTAGGGTAATTCAATGCGAAAAGTTCAAATCTGAGCTGTATTCGGCTCTAAATCCTATTGGTTAAGCAGTAGCCAATAGAATTCATGTGTTTATAGAAAAGGTTTGCGAGGATAATTTTGATGTCCACTCATTCTAGGATGACTCATCTGTCTAATTCACTTTTTGAAGTACACATAACTCTCGGATTTAAATCCGAGGTTTCCATATTTATTCTTTTTTCGAAATGCTCAATTTGATAAATATAAATTTACTGTTAGTTGAAATTCATATTCGATTTCATAATTAGATTTCATTGAGCTTTATCTTTAATGAAATTTCCTGACTAGATGACGTATACTGTTTATTATTTGTACCTAAACGAAGAATCATTTAGTATTTATGGTATTTATCGAGAAAAAAACAAGAACTTGGATAGAGCAATATAAAATCAATCAAGTCTGTCCTTTATCTATTTCATGACAAGAATAACAAATTTGATTAACTTTCATTGAATAAAGATAACCACTTATTATTGTACTCTACATTGATTCGACAAAACTCGTCCCACTGTTGAATGACTGTTTGATTTAATACATTGGTGTTATCATGGGATAATTGTCTAAGGAATTGTTGTGAGAGATCGACAACGAAACCATGCTTGCCTTTCTTACAACCACCAACACATCCACTAGTGAATATTACATCACAACATATCCATTTGAATTTTTGTTTTTGAACTTCGAATTTATCACGTTGATCAGGATATTTGATAGCATTACTTTCGATTTTACTTAATAACTTCAATGCTTCACTTGGCGTATAAATTTTCAGATTCGCTGCTGTTATATCATAGAGAAAACCATCATGATGAAGACAACTTCCTAGAATAATATGACAAAATAGTATTGAAGATTATTTTATCACTCAACATACCCATTCTATTTTCATTTTCAATATAGAAATCTTTACATTTGACACATTTGAGAAGATCTTCCGCTTTATGTCGTTCTAATTCTAATTCTTCTTCTTCTTGACGTGTAAGTGTAAATTGAACATCTTTACAAAATTGACGTAAAAGAAATGATTCACGAATCACTGCTACAGACCATCGTTCCATATTATCCCTGTCTTTATGTTGACCTTCTTCCATAGCACGATCACGAAATCGTGCCAATACATACGTATAAATACTTTGATTATGAACCGATGATGAAATTGATCGACCCATATTCGAATCGGCTTCTGATTTGTTAACACCGACCAGTGCATCAAGATCATAGACAATCATTGAACGTGCATAAGCTGCATATTCATCATAGCGATCTTTCAATGTTTCATAGACTTTCTTCTCATCATAGGCACTTTGGGATGCAAGTAAATTTAGATCGATTAATTGAAGAAGTTGAACGTTTCGATTCTTTCCATAAGCGGTCAAGCGTTCAAGCAATGTTTGAACATTTGTTTCATTTTCATCCAATTCGTATTCAACAATCGATAGTTTATCATTGCAGGCATTTGAACCTTGCCCATAGATTTCGATACGTATACGATGATGACATAAATCGACTACAATTCGTCCTGTATATTTGCAATTTGTCGATAATTGATAAGTGCGAGATCGCGCACTGTCGAGTTTATTTCGCAAAAGTAAGCGAGGCAAGGTTTCACTACCGATGAAAATTTGATATTGTTGAGCAGTACGATCGGCAAGTTGAAGTGCTTCAATCTCGTCAAGGCGGTAGTTCGGTTCAGTACGTTGGGCTGCCATGCATGTGACAGTAATCGCATGCACCAAGGCCCTATAAATTCAACAAGAACCGTATGTGTTTTCTTTCGATAGACGTAAAATATACGTACTTGACCGCAGCTCCACTAAAATTGGTCGTAGCAATCGAGAGCCGATCAATTAGTCCGTATTCGAGAGCCCAATTAGGTATTCTTTTAAGTATGGTAATGCGTGCATCGGATGACGGACGGCCCATGAAAAATTTGCCCGACATTCGACGCAAAAATGCTTCATCCATTATATGTAAACGATTTGTAGCACATAAAATCATCAGATTAGGTACGTCTTTGATGCCTTCGATAAGTGATAGAAGTACAGAGATCTTATCGACTTTACTTTCACTTGAATCTTCATCTCGTTTCGGTGCTAATGAATCAATTTCATCAATTGAAATACAACACATTGCATAAGGAACTCGATAACAACGTGTACATAACGCTATTAATATGCGTTCACTTTCACCAACAAGTGGACGATTCAGTTCGCCAGCTGCCAACGGTGGTCCCACAGTTAAGATGCCTAATTTTTTAGCTAGTTTACTCATTATGTCTGATTTGCCAGTACCTATTGAATAAAATAGAACCGTTCACATCATATCTTAATTATCAATTACCAATTTACTATTGAATCAATCTGATGCAAGATTGTTCACTAGCGAATAAATGATTTTCCTCAGTATAGATCGAAACGTGGAAATGTCAGATAAACTTGTCTGGTCGTTTTCAGGGTTTAACTGACTTCATCAAATGATAACAATTGATTTTACTATCAGAAAAATCTAACTCTCTTCTTTTAGCAAGGATTAGGCAAAGAAAAAGTGCCATTTAGTATCAGGGTGGATTTCATTTGTTATTTATATAGATGTGAATACTTGGATTTTCCCGTAAATTTATTGAAGATGGATAATGATCGGGATGAAAAGCAAAACAATCGTGCTCTTCCCTGCTCTAAAGCTATTTGCGATCAAAGACTACTGAGTTGCTTTTGAACGAATTTCATTTTTTCTCAAAATCTATATCGAGACTTTCTCGATAGTCGAATCTATGCAGTTTACTTGGTGAATCGTATTACCAACTACCACAATCATAAACATCTTGAACTTACCAGGTGGCCCATACATGATAAGACCACGAGGAGGTTTGATAAGTTGTTTACCGAGATGTTCATGTGGTGCATCCAATTCGAATTCCATCATTTTTAAACGTGCATTATCTTCTTCAATTTCTTTTTGCAAATTCTTTTCTTCCTTTTCCAAGTCATCTTTTCTTTTTCTAACATCATTTAATTGTTCATAGAGGTGGAGTTGATCTCTCTCCCATCTTGCATGGTATAGACGAAGTGCTTCTGCTTTAGTTTGTTGTTCATAGTCATTACTCGAAGCCAATTTTGTTCGTGACTGCATATAAACGTTCTCTGCATCTTTGAGACGTTGTGTTAGCCTAAGAATTTCATCGTCTAATTTCTGATACCTTTCTATTATTTCATCACGCTTGATCATACGTTGTTGCATGTCAGCACATAACTGGTCACGTCTTTTCAAGTGAGCAAGATGTTCATCGACGCTTGATTGACGTTTCAAATGAAATTCATGCTCGGAAATGGTGAGTGGAAGAAAGAATTCTTTCATTTTTGGAAAGAGACCATCATCGGCAAAGCCTTCTGTGCGCATCTCTTCAAATGCGATATCCAGACATTTAGCATCAATTCGAGATAAAGCACCATGATCTCGAACGATTTTGTCATCGCGTAATGTATGCCAAATTAAGAGTTTGATCAAATGTAGATTGGCAATAATCTCCGAGCACGAATAAGGAAAATCGTCTACAAGAAACAAACTTCTCAATCATGATTAACATCATTCTCATCTAATAAAACGGTTTTTCTTTTATTTGTGTTTAATCTTAACGAACCTGAAGGTTTTGTGGATTCTGTCTGTTCGTTGTTCTCATCTTTCGGATCATTGATTATCCGTTGACGTCTTTCGCCAGCAGCATGTTCTCGTTCTCGATCAACGGCTTCTTTCAATATTTTCTTTGCATTCAATGGCAATGAATGAATATTATCCCATTCGGATTGACGTAAATTTGTCAAATGTTCAAATGTAAAGATGTCTTCTTCGTCAAGTGCACGTAACCATTTGTTAGCTCGGCCATTATTTTCCCGATCACATATATCGTGAATGAATACGTCAAGTGATGCCGTACGAGGGCTGTCGGTAGGCGACGATGATGTTGGCTGGGATGAGTCATCGTTTTTGATACGACAGTAAATTTGAACATTATCAGCCAGATGCCATCGAGCAGGAAAATGAATATTGTGATCTCTTTCATACGGTTCTAATGTCAAATCGAATAGGCCATGCCAATGATCATATTGCCATGTACTAAAATCGTCAATCAAGCTGACAGGCTCAATAAGACGCAAACGAGTCGAATTCCGGTGAGCAGTCGATGTGATTATGCCACAATCGTGCATTTGTTGTCGAATAAATAGATGAAGTGGACAGTTAACAGGAAGAACAAACTGTGCATTATCATGCATCGATATGGACATTGATTCTGTTGTACTATAAATCAAGAAGAATCTCATTTCAAATCAAATCCAAAATTTCTTACTTTATAGGTGATTGATGTAACATATTGATTGGTTGTAGCAAAAATGAATGAATGAATGTGATAACATCAGGATGAAGCAGTTTGATGTTTAGTAAGCAAACGATGTTTGTAAGAACTGTGACATTATTTGTACTATCCAATCCTGATGTAACTAGAAATTAAATCAGAATGCATAGAGAAACATCGAATCCAAAGCAGGAAATGCAGATTATCCTGCAGCTGAAGAGAAGACTTCTTATCACCCTCAAATTATTATCCTAATCATACCATTCGTTCTAGTGGTGATTGTGCTGATAGCAGGAGGAGAAATGTTGGATCCATTAAGAGCGAGATTATTTGTTGGTTGCACTTCGCCATACAATCTTGCCGATACCAATAATCTGGAATCATTCGCATTTGAATATCGAACACAATCGTGCAAATAAGCACGACTTTGTTCAGTATCGATATTTAAATTCAGTCGATGTGCTACTTCGATAATGGTTGATTCATTTACATCGTCTGAATCTGATGCATCAATGAGTTGTTGATAGAGATTACGAATTGTTGTGAAATTAGCTTCATGAAAAGTCGAATTGGATTGCAAATATTCGACGACTGAAATCTGTCGTGAATTCTTCATCGTCAATGAGTGAATTTTGCCATTCTGTCAACCACTTATATATAATCCTTCTGATTTTAATTACTTATTGACTAATAAAGCAATGAAAATGCAGAGAAATATCCCGTCAAAAAAACCCAGTTGTGAAATAACATAAATCATCTCTTGGTTTTTTTTCTTTCCAAGCTGTGCCGAGCGCCCGTTTTGTTTGTCATCTGTATCATGTGACAACATAGTACTATCGAAGGTAAGACCCATTAATCAACAAATCCGATTAGAGTATTCTCGTCATTAATATCTCTTTGCATATAAAAACGACGCGAACTATTCATTTTCATAGAGATTTTGCTTGACGGAATAATGACTCAGTCAAGGAACAAAATGCATGATGCAATACTTGGTCAAGAACTGAAAAGCGAAACTGAACAACACGACGATGAAAAACGGTATGTTGAAAGTCAGTTAAGTGAAGCGAAGCATGAAGAAGAAGTGATCAAAGCTCAAATAAAAGAATACAGAGATTCTGCTGAGAAACACAAAACGGAATTGCATCGACTCGACAATGAACTCGAGGAACTCAACCATCAAATCCAAACAATCGAACAAGAACTCGATATATTAAACGATGAGAAAAGTTATCTCAAAAATCATTGTCGACAACAAGAACAAGAACGTCATGATCTGAAAAAAAGATTCTACCGACAAGAAGAAGAACTGGAACGACTCAATGAACAATTAGACGAACTTCAAGAGAAAAAATCTCGGTTGAATAATCAACGTGAAGATTGGGAACAACAACACCAAGAGATTAAGCAGAGAAAAGAGCAGATCGATCGGCAAATTCAACAACTCGAACAACAATCAAACAAACTTCACATACGTTTAGACCAATTAAACAACGAGGTCCTACAAATTAAATATGATATTGAAAAGTTTCAAGATCATATACACAAGCTTGAAGAAAAACTGGTCACAGTCGAACAAAAGCGTGCCGAATTAGACCATCGTATACACGAGAATCAATCGACTTCTGATCGTGTTCAAGCTGAATTAAATAAAATCGAAAGTATTATTCGACGAATCGAAAACATGATCGATATGAAGCGAAATCGACAAGGAGAATTAAATCAATACAAAGAAAAAGTGCAGAATGATCTTACGCAAACTGAACAACAAATTTTTCAAGTCACACAGGACATCAATCATGCTGAGGAGAAAATGAAGATATGTGAAGAAAAGGCCAATCGAGTTCAAATGGAAGTAAATACCTTGAAACAAGCAATTGCCGAAGGAGAACGAATAGTAGAGCAATTACTTGAAGAAAAACAACAACTTATGTAAGTGAACTGGTGATAAAATTCGAGAATGAGAGATAGTTTGATCCAAAGTTTTCATACTTGATTCGTTTTGTCTATGCATTGTAATCACAGAACAAATTGATCTATTATTTAGGACCAAAATGCGAGTCAAAGATCAGGAACGAGTACAATTAGATCGAACAAGACAAAATGTTCAACAAAAACTCGAACGTAACCGTATGGAATTGGAACAGGCTGCATAGCATCGTGAAATACTCGTGAAACGTATTGCTATGCTTGAAGATGAATTGAAACAGATCGATGATCATCTAAATCGGTTGATTACTGAACGCGATCAATGTATATCGAAATTAGATCAAGAAAAACATACAAAACAACAATTGGAACAAGAATTACATCAAGAAGAAAAAAAGCAACGTGACATCGAACGAACTATCAAAGAACACACAAAACAGGTATGTAGGGTTGAAAAGGAATTGCGCAAGAGTCAAACTCAAGAAGCAGCAGCTCGAGCTGACGAAGCCCAAGCACGAAACAATTTTCGAATCGCTGAAGCAGCATTAGCTCGAGCTCAAGCTCAATTAGCAGCCGTCAAGGGAGCGGCAGAAATTCATTCGAATACATTAGATTTAGTTGAAAAGAATTTAATTACGTGTAAGTTGAATTTGAAAATGTTTGGACAAGCTCTTGTAATGCGCACTCAAGTGTTTGAACTTCGTAGAAAACATCATCTTACTACTCAAGCTAAAACAATTCAATGTCGAACACAGCTTGAACAAATTCGAACGACTTTGCATACAGAAGAAACACAACTCGCTAGTCAAAAACGAACTATTACTGAGAATAAAACTAAAATTGACAATCAAAAACAAATCATTAAGCAAGTTAAAAACAAATTACAAGTATTAAACAACGATTATCAGCGAGTCAAAACACAAGCCAAACAAAAACGTCGAGAAGTGCCCCAGACACAAGGTGAACTTGAAAAGCAAACGAAAATATTACAAACACTTGAAAATGAAGGAAATCAATTGAAACAATCAGTCGAAAGTCTGACGGAGAAATTCGAACAGCTTAAGATCGAATCACATCAATTACAACAACAAGTCCAGGAAACTGAACAGCAATACGCGGCTAAAAAAGCTGAAAACGCACATCAAAAGACACAACAAGCAAATAAACTTGCCGAACTGCATAATAACGAGCAGGACGTTCAACAACAACAAGCCATTGCGCATGAAAAATATCTTTTACGTCAACAAGCTCAAATCCAACGGGAAACCACCAACGTGAATATTGGTATGGTTTCTAAGTCGATTGTCGAATTAGAAAATGATTCGATTGAACAACAACGCATTATGCAGGTTAGACAGCAACAACTGCCGAAACTGAATGAAGAACGGACTCGAATCGAAACCGAATTGTTTGCACAAGTACAGGAGAAACAACGATGCACTGATGATGTACATCGTTTACAGCGTGAGATTAAACAACAACAACGTACTCGAAATGAAAAACAGCAGATAATGATCGAGTTAAAATCTCAAATTAATTTGAAAGAAGAAGACTTGAAGTTGAGACAACGTGAACAGGCAAATCTTGAGAGGCAATTGACAACTATCGAAGCAAAACAGGTTACTACACATGAAAAGATAGTTGACATTGATGGACGTATACGTACACTCGATTACAATATCCAACAACAGATTGTCTCGAAAAACCATGCTGAACAGCTAATTAACCAGAACAAAACGGAGTTAGTTAATATTGAAGGAAAGTTACAGCATGTCACTTACATGCGTCGTCAGAAACAACAGAGAGAAGAGATAACGAAAAGAAATATTGAAATACTCGTCGGTCAGATCAACCAACATTGTTTAGCTCAAATTGAGACGGATAAACAACTTGAACAGGCATATAATCGAATGAGCATACAACGTGCAAATACTGCAAGTTTGACAATTAAACTTCATCAACTGGACACGACTATCCGACCATATGCAATAGAACAGAATGTGGATCAATGCGAAAATCCCATCGTTGACCAGCATTCGATAGATGAACAGATAAACGTATTTCAGAATATGCATGTCGAACAGACACAGGTTCATCAGCAAGAAGTGCATCGTCATCGAAATCTGCAACAAAAAACACTTTCGAACCATAGCTAGTTTATCCCTTTGAGGACGGGATTACTTTGAAAAAGAATGGGGATTTCCGAAACTCTAAAATGATGTATATATTAGAAACAAGATCAATGAGGGCGCAATACACATGATAGTGTCACACTACATCGGACATGGCAGATCTATGACCTGTGCAGCATATAGATTATAACAGTATCATAAGAGACATATGCGTAAGTCGGTTATCATCCGGTCCAGAGCCGTTGCCTATATATAGGCTTCCCGTCCCCAAAGGGTTATTCCACATGTTTTTAACAGAAAATAACTCTTCTGACACTTTTTTTCTTCAATAAATAAATGATAACCTATCAATCTTTTCTTGGATGGGAATCGTTGCAGTTTCTTCACTGCCTTTTCACATCGTTCACTTGATTGAGGGTGAGTGAATGGATGGATGGAGTGAGGATAATAGATGCCACTTGAGGGTGTGAGTGTGGATGGGGTGTGGGGTGTGGGTGTGGGTGGG